TCTTTCCCAGGGTGTGAACTGCTGCCTCATGCACGCCGAATTGAATCTGAAGGCACCTGTCCAACATAAATAATAAAAGAACAGTCTAAAAATACCCGCTTGAGGGATTAGGCGTGTGCTGGCAACACGTGGGACACGGAGCCAATTATGGGCGCGTAGCCCAAACACCCGGTGGGGGGGACGGCGTCTCAGCACAGGACTCTTGACTCGTAGGTGATCTTTTCGTCGTGTGGGGACTTGGATCTGCTCGAGCATCAGACGAGCCTGGTGTCCTCGGAGGACGGCGCCCGGGATCAGGACAACATGGATGACACCAATAGCGAGCAGCAGTTCAGGGTCTTCCGGGACTTCGACTTCCTGGACGTGGAGCTGGAGGACGGAGAGGTACAGTATGTTCTCTGTATAGTTAACGCTCTCGCCGGCGCAAGTTTCTTCTCCCCCGCCGAGTCGAGAGATTGTGCAACAGGGTCTTTCATTTGAATCGACTTCAGCAAAGTCCCACAGCTTCGCTTTGGCACCAGGCACCACTCCCGTCCTGCCTGAGCCCGCAGCCCACGCTGCCAAGTTATTTTTAAGTGGCCGAGGTCTGACCGAATGACGACACAGAGGCTGTGTGTGTGCGTATGTGTGTGGAGTCCAGCGGGGAACTTTAAAAAAAGTCACAGTGCTCTAGGTCTAAGCCTGTCCGCTGGAACCGGGGTGACACCTGCTGAGCCGTGGTGAATGGTTTCACACGTGAACTGGCTATGATTCCGTCACATCAGTGCTGCTGGACGAGGTGACGATGACGTGGCACAGGACGGGACACACAGGAGAGCCCCCAGCCGTTCCCTGGGTGGTGGCCGGGGCCCCACACCTGGCACAGCTGCATCCAGGCCTCGGCACGCCTCGGCAGGCTCGTTTAGGGGAGTGATGATTATGGTCAGACGGTGCTTTCGGAAACCTGGGCCTGGACAGAAGCTCCCCAGCCCTCCGCTCGCGTGTCCGGAGCACAGGACGGTCTGGCCCAGAGGTAGCGCTTTGCCCCATGGGATGAACTAGGCACACCGAGGGGAGACGAGCACATGTAAAACCGCCTGGGACGAGCAGCTCACAGGGTTTCCCAGCGCCCAAGGCCACAGGTCACTCCAGGAAGCAGCCCTCTGCTGGCGCCCCAGATTCAAGGGTGACATCCCGTGGTGGGGCGGCACCCCCTGACTTGACTGTGAACTCGCCTTTCCTAAAAGGATGTGATTACGGACCACCCCGGGCGTGTGGAGGTGACAGGCCCAGGAGCTACGCGCCCTTGTCCCTCCCTGGCCACTGCCGACCCTGGGCGTCTACGCCAGGGCAGGTGGCGTCCTCGGGGCACACAGTGTCCTTTACCAGTTCTGTCCCCGGAGAGGAAGGTCAGCAGAGCCGCCTTGAAGAGCTTAAAGGTCCTGGCTGCAGGCGCCTTCAAGCAAGGGCCAGCCTCCCGCCTCGAGTGGCTCTCGAACCAGTAAGAAGGATGGCAAGGTCTTCTGACTTACCCGTAATCAGTGACAAATCAGTCAGTGATTGTGAGGACTGCTGAAAAAGTCTGTAACAAAACATGGCAGTTTGGGGTCCTCTCAGAGCCTCTCTGTGCCAGAGCTGCCCGGGACGTGAAAAGGCCAGCTCCCCAACCGGGACAGCCAGCCCCACGTCACCGCCTCGGCTAGAACTCGAGCCAGGCCCCCTCCTCAGTCCGGAAGTGAAACTGAGCGGGAGACGCACCACTCACTGTCCAGACTCGGCCAAAGGAAAACGTGTCACGCAGAGCGACCAGGCAGGGAGGGCGTAAAGCAGGAGAATCGGGCACAGTTTCAGAGCCAGCAACAAATTTATCAAAATCAAAGAGTCTGAGATGCCCATGACCCGAAAATAAATATGGCACCGGTGTTTCTCAGGGACAGTAAGTAACGAACACTACACCTTCCTTCTCGTGTTCTCTGTATCGTCCCAGCCAACGAGGACCGACGCACCACAGGGCGGCTTAATCTCGTGTGATTAAGACTTCCTAAGATGCTTGAGCATGGACATGTTTATCCAGAGGCAATAAAGCGCGGGAGATGTGCTGCGTCGCGGTCGGTCGTAGTAAGGGCGCCAGTGCGTGCGGACGGGCAGCATGACAGGCCGGGCCGGGGCCCAGGCACGACCCGCTCCAGATGCCAGCGCCGCTGCCGCCCTGGCTGTAGGACCTAAGCACGGCTGCAGTCTCTCTCGCCTTCCTCAGCCTCCCAGATCACAATCACACACCTTCGGCTTGTGAGCGGGGCCCAGTGACGCCACCTTTTCTCCGTCAACAACCCTGATTCGTTTTCCCATGACAGTTGACGATTTTCTTACAAATACTTACTCGTTCCCCCGCTTCCCT